CACTTCCGTATATTTTTTTCAATAGTTTATCTCTCTCCTCCCTTGCTGTCAAGCTGTCAGTCAGCTGTCAGTTTTTACTGCTGTGAGTCTGCCTTTATCACACCCCCAATTTAAGGCTGCTAATCTGCTGTCAGCTGAAAAAATCAGATAATCAAGACCTCTGAAATTACATTAACAATAGGTGGCAAGAATGAACACTGGATGGAGACTTTGAGGTATAGTTTCTAGTTCCTGTCCTGCCTATACCCAGCTGCACGACGGACAGAACACACCTGATTTCTCTGGGCCACCTTGGTGCCCTGATCTATAAAAATGAGGAGGAGGGAGGAGGAGGAGGAGTGTGTGTGTGTGGTGTGTGGTGTAAGAGAACGAGAAGACAGAGAGAGAGGGAGAGAGAAACCAGAGAGAGAGGACAGAGGGAGGAGAGAGGAGAGAGAACCAGAGACAGAAGGAGACAGGGAGAGAGAGGAACAAAGAGATATCCAGACCTGAATCACAAATTACTCTTGTCTACCAGAAAATATCATATAAACTTTGTCTGAGTTTTCCAGGGTAGGGTACCACTGATCTTTTAATTGGCAAATCCAAGAACAGTTTATTAATCATTAAGCTTAACTTAATGTCAATGCGCCAGATAACTTCTGAATCACTTCCTTAAACCCTCTTTCCTTCCCTTTGGTTCCAAAAGAATAACTGACTCATCTTGTTGACCTTCTGACCTCATCTTTTCTTCTCCTTTCAGTCTTGGGCTCTTTCTCCACAAGTCCTTAAGTGTCAAGAATGCCAAAGGTGGTCAATGTTGAAAGATCAGGATCATGAGGAGGAGAAAACAAGAGATGCAGAAGCTGTTTGTTCACACAGGCTGCTGTGTGAAAATCTGGGGACCATGTATCTTAGAAGCCAACAAAAGAATGTGCGATAGCATGTCAAATGATGCTGATATGTTAAGGAAGATGAATACTAAGGACTGACCAAAAGATTTAGAAGCATGGAACTCATTGTGACCTTTGCAAAAACAGTTTCCCTCAAAGGCTTTAAGAGAACACTAGGAATGAAACTGGAAGCAGTAAGTACAAGCAACTCTTTGAGGAGATTTTGTTACTAAGATGTAAAAAATAATGGTTTTAATGTGATACTAGAAAATGCTCTAGAAGAAAGGAAAACTGGAATGATTCAGGAAAGAGGAAAACTGATGGTACAGAATGGAAAATGAAAAAACTGCTAGAAAAAGTCTTTCAACATAGGCGATGAACGGGTGGTAGCAAAGAATTGGAGATGAGGCCTTAGACAGAAGCAAGGTCAGCTTAACTATACCAATGGGTATAAAGATGAAGAACACAACAGGAGCTGGGGATTTGTCTTAATTGGTAGAGGGCTTTCCCAGCAAGTGAAAGGCCATGGGTTCAAACCCCAGTACCTCCAAAGAATATGTGCCCAGAAGCACATAAATGGGTAGACAAAGCAGTGTCAACCTATAAAAGTTCTCTTGTGATTGCTTCTATTTTCCAAATGTCAACTGAGAATGAACACAAAGGCTTGGTATTAGAGGTTTCCAAATAGAAAAGAAGGCATGACTTACTATCAAATATGGTATGCTTGCCATATAATCCAAAAGGCCTATCTAAAGTTAGGAGTATGAATCTAGAGCATGCTACTAAGTATGGTTGGATGGTTTATCTCTAATAATCTTTAGTCTGATGAGTGCACGTAGAAAGTTCATAAAGAATGGATTTAATAAGATCAGGAGTTTTACCAATCACATCTGAAGCAAAATGTGTAAAAGATTAGAGATCATGTATAAGACAGTAAACATAATGATAATATATGGAAGTTAAACTGGATAAAAGAAGAGGAAATAAGACAAGAAGGATAGAAGTTGGCTAAATCAATGGACAGCAGCTTCTAGTGAGGTCAAAGGATTGCTTGAGTTAAGGTGATACAATAAGTAAACAAACCTCTTTATATTAGACTGACCTTTTGACAGAGGAATTCTCTACTTTTACATATTGATTATAGGGAGATGGAAGATGGAGTGAGACAGTTCTCTATACTCTGGTGGCAACAGACATGCCAGGTGACAAATTAATGGGGGTAGGTAGTTAATAAGATGAAATAATCCTTCATCGTCTATTATATACCAGGCATTATCCTAGACACTTAGCATGCACTATTTTATTTAATCAATATATCATCCTTATGAGAGGAAAAAAATGTAATCATAACTATTAAAGAACCTATGTTCAGGTCCATTGGCACATGTCACAGAGCTATAAGTAGGGGTCAAGAACCAAATACATGTATATGTGATCATAGCATTTAAGAGCTTTCCATCCTCACATGTTTAATACAGATCATTAAATACTTTCAAGGAAATACAATCTCTTACTACTATTTTTCTGGTATCTAAGAATGAGAAAGAGAGTGTGTAAAGAGAGCAATAGGTAGCAAAAGGTATACCAAGTCAATAGTACTGAATGCCTAGTTGACAGACAAGCTCTGAGTTTTAACAGACATTGATTCTATAAATTCTCACTAACTTTGCTGGAAAAAAGGCTTTTCCTTCTTCTCTGATTAATATCTATTACATTATATATAGCTTATTAATAACACAAACTATAGATTCATTTTGATTTAAATGATTTTTGCCACCACCAAATAATGTTTATGTAAGGAGAAAGATATAAGTGTTCAAAAGTTGTTTTTTTAAATTACCTTGCTTATTTTGCCTTTGGAATTACAAATATTTTTCAACATTTCATTGAAATAATACACTTTTAAAACTGCAGGCATTAAAATGATTGTCATTCATGAAATAATCATTTACTAACACTGCGTGAGTTCAGGTTGTACAAAGCAAATTACCATTTGAAAAAACTCAAATAACACTCTGGGCTAAGACCCTGCTTATGAATGTTATCTTGGCCACAGTATTTCTTAACCTTCTTCTACTTAGCTAGATTCCCTTATGGTAAATGTGGAAATTAATAAGCTATTGCATTGCCTTAGGTGCATTATCATGATGTTGTAGGAGCATATCTGATGCAAATGATTTCTACAAAATATCATTTATTTGAATCTATGGTAGTAAGAAGAATTATGACCACCTATTCAATTAAGGATGTATATCTGCCTAAATATTAAACTTAAAAACTTATTTCAAAAAGCAGATCTCATATTAAAAAATGCAAATATATAACTGTGTTCTAGCTATTGACAGATATAAAGTTTAACGATTACAGTTATAAAGTATAACAATTATAGTTTTCAAAAGTTAAAATTCTCTTATCACACATAAGAAAACTATCTATATAAAAATATACAAACATATTCATATAGTTAGCCCTCTATCCAAAGTCCCCTATTCATATACTGAACAAATGACAGATCAAATATGTTTGGGAAGAAAAAAATTTATGTATTGAAAATGTACAGACTTTTTTTTCTTGCCATTATTCCCTAAACAATACCACGTAACAACTATATACATACCATTTACACTGTATTATGTACTATAAGTAATCTAGATATGATTTTAAATATGCAGGAAAATGTGCATAGGTTATATGCAATGTAAGTACTATACCCTTTACATAAGAGACTTGAGCATTTGTAGCTTTTGGTATTCCTGAGGGTGGGGAGGTGTCATGGAATATACTACAGGCACGCATGTACACACATATACCATATTTTTTTTTCTGTATGTGTTTTACATATATGTATGTATATAAAACACATATGTATATATTTACCCATACATACATATTTGAAAACTGATTATGATCTTAGTTCTACCTAGCATTACAGTTTTCAAAAGAGCAAATAAATCATTAGATGTTATTGACAAATAACCTACAATGACAGGAAATTTTAATAATAAACAGAAATTTGAATCTGAAGTCATAGAACCAAACAGTCTAGTGTATGACTCCAAGCCAACCTCAATATCTCTGGGCCTCTGTTTTCTGTACCACATAAAGTAAGAACTATGCAAGGCTGTCTAACTTAAATTTTATGACTCACTAACTTGATTTGGTATGGGACATATTTTTCATCAGTGAAATACTGAGTAGTAAGACACTCGAATAAATTAGCATTGAAGTACAGATAGAGAGTCCTGCCCTACAGCAAAATCTGGATGAATTCAGTAAGTGAAGAACACAGAGACTAATGTTGACTTTCTACACAGCATATATGAACATTAAATCATTTCCAATCTTCATTTCAGAGTTAGGGAAGAAACAGCTGTCCCTGAACTCCTTTTAAGGACAGTTACAAAACAGCAGCAAACACCACTAGTATGAGTCCCACTGAAGTAAACTTTCTATTCACAGGAGAAAAACATTCCTAGTAGTTATAAAAATAGTTTTGCTAGGTTTAATCAAAAATGAAAAGGAACCCCAGAATGTTCCCTTTGAGCCACATTATCCATTGCTAATTCAGGGTGGGCCCAGTAACAAGGGTAACAAAAATGTCCTTAAAAAGAGAAATGGCAATTAAGTGCATTTGAATCCAATATGGATGGCTTAATTCTTTAAGATTATATATAAATAATAAAGATGAAAGAGGAAAAATAACAGAAGAACAAAGCATGGGAAATTAAAGTCATCCAAGCAATAAGACTGATTTAGTTAAGAGTTACTATTATGCATTTTAAATCAATGGGCCTAAGAAGAATGCAAAAGTAGAGAAATATGCTTGACAATGATTTCTGTAATAAGACAACAAATAGTAAGGTTTAAAACCAAAACATCCTACTTTGGCAAACAAATAAGTAAGAATAAAGAATGGAAGAACTCAATATCTGAACTACCCATTCAGTAATAAGTTAGATACCTGATTATTTAAAATCTTTATAAATCATGTATGGAGACATACAACTCAATTCTCTACTCAACCAAACTTATTGTGAAAAGTTAAAGCTGGCAAAAAGAACACCAATTTCTCTACATTAGAGAAGTAATCTGTAACACAATATTGAAAACAGAGTCAAACACACTAACCTGCTCACATCAGGAAACCTAATGGGAAAGTAAATAACTTGGCACTTGGTCTGATGATACTTTCCAGATCCTTAGGTCTATGATCAGGAATCAGCTTCATAAATGTTCCAATAGAAGTGAGAAATGACTCCATATTAAAAACTGAGTTGAACACCACCACATCAGCCACCAAGCTACATAAAGGGAAAAGATAAAGACAAATGATCAGCTCAGATTCATTTGGAGTTTGTTTTTTTTTTTAATAAGCCTAAGGCCTATGTGTATTAATCAGAGTTTATACTGCACCTTAGGTTGAAACAAACATTTCACTTCCCATCAGTATCTATCAAACTGTCTCTAATGGATAAACTAGTTCTTAATATTCTATCATGGGAAGCTAGTTTGTGGCACTGGGGGGAAAGGCAACAAGGAAATTAAATGATTTAATGGGACTTCAAACCAAACCCTATTTCTCCATGATGCCAGAAACTTTCCACATTATCAAAACATTAAGTTCAGCAAGATCTTTTGCTCTGTTGCCCAATTTACCACACTGAACTTCTCTGTCAGTGATGTTCATCATTGTACTGCTGAGAATAGACTGCCATACTCTTCACCTCCTTCAAAGGAACTAATTGAGACAAAGCTGTTTTCATACTATTTGGTTAAAGTCTAGTTCCTGCTTTAGCCATGGCTCTAAGAAATGTGCTACATTTTATAAAGTTCTGGAATTATACAGGAAGGATGATGGTACTGTTACATATTTAATAACTCATTTTACTACCATATTATATTTGGGGTAACCAGAGAAGTAGAAAATATTAGTGAAAATGAATCAGAAATCCATAGCATTAGGTCTTATTTATTATAAAAGGAAATATTATAGAATACCACAATATCATGGGCCTTCAGATCTAATACTGACTACTGCTTGTGACAAACAGACTGTTTTCCTCTCCTCAGTATTTTTTAAATAAAAAAATACAAAATATACTGTCATAAGAAAATATGAAAGCTAATTTTATGTGACATAAATTTATCAACAGTTTTAAGGTTGCCTGTGACATTTTCCTGGACACCAAAACATGGGTGAGCGGCATGAAACCTGTATGCTTATTATGGTTTCTTTGTGAGTCGAAAACAGATTGAATAAATCACTGCTTTGATTTTTAAAATATCTTCTTTCATTAATCAGTGACTCAGGGTCATTGGAGCTCTATGAAATGCACAGAAACATTTCCATAAGAAGGCATATATGGTTAAATAAGACAGTACAGTCTTATTTCACCCTAAAAATAATAGATGAATAAGACTGAAAAGAAACATGTAAGTTCACAAGACTGCAAAACACAATACTGTAAGTAGAACTTACACATAGGTAGGAATACCAAACCTAATCCTCAGTTTAGTCTGTATTATTCGGCAGAGACAGGCAAAATGAAAAACCAGTTAAAGGAATGTTGATCTGCTATCCCTATGCCTCCCCTCCAAAAGTGCTTCTGTATAAAAGTCTGTTTGTTTGGTTTTTGTTTTTTTCCAGTTGCTTCCTGGTGCAAATTTGGGGAATGGGTATGATTACCCCAAAGATAGTAGAAAGGAATGTCACAAAATTGCTGACACAGTTCTAATCAATAGTATCCCAAAAGCTGAAGGACATTTTACAGCTAGTCTGTTTTCACCATATGTCACATATTGTAATAGTGACCCACAGGTCATAATATAGAGTTATGACATGTATTCATAAGTCATAGGGTTAGTGAAGCCTCTGTTTAAGGTGAGTGTTTATGTCAGTCATCTTTAAAATCCTTAGCTGCTACACAGTCAAGAAAGAAATGTGACAGTGTCAACAAAAGCACAAGTCAGCAAGAAAACTAAAGAAACATTTGAGGAAGAAGGAGGCATACTTTTCAAAGGGAATCAGAGCAGGATTGCTTTCTGACACTCTTATTTTTCCTCTGGACAACTGTGGACTATTTTTTCCCCTTAAGAAGCCAAATGATGATGAAGTCCACTTCTTTCTCTCCTAGCTTGTCTATCAGTTTATCCCTTGAGAATAGAAATGTTGAAAATCATGTGCAAGCTTTATAGTTTCATCTTCTATGAGGAAAACAATTTCTTATAAAAGAGAGGAGGGGCAGTCAACTAATTTCTTTTTTCATATCCGCCCTCAAAGAGCATGCAATCCAACTACTTACATTGCTCAAAAATTTGGTTGATGCTAAGTTAAAGATCCAAGATAGTTTACAAAAATAATCTTTTTGGTGCATATCGTCCCTGAATTGGTGTAACTTCCATCAACTTTAAAGTCACCCATAAAGGAAAAAATAGACTTAATTTTTTTCTCAGTGAGTCCTCAGGGGTAATAAACACTATCTGAAAAAAAGAATGATGCTAATTCAAGAAATCATAAGAATATTACAAATGAGTTCTCCACATTGATAAAGCACAAATGATTTTATTTTATTTTTAAAACATATTTCCCTTATCTGCTTCAGTCTAAAAGTATTTTAATTTTATTATGAAATTTAAAAACACTTACTTTTTATGAGACATTTGACGTGAAGCAGTTCCACTCTATTTTGATAGCACTGCTACTTCACAATTGAAGCAGCTTATAAAAATGATTGCAAGAAAACATTTACAAAATGCTCAAAACACAGTAAGTACCATGTTGCTGTTTTTCTGTGTCTACTAAACTATTCAACAGACTTGGAATTGTTGAGGGTCTGTTTAAATACATCATCAATCCCAATAGCTAATAACTGTTAATAAAAGTGGTAAAATGTACCCATTCACTGTCAAACTGATTCCATTTGACCTGTACAGTTATGTAATAGGATTCTGCAGCAAAGCCATTTGGGACTTGTTATTAACTTCTTTCATCAACTAAGCATCAGGAGATACACTCTGTTGAAGTACAATAGAGAAGGACCCTCACCTTTGAAATGTCATGGTATTTTAAGGCTATGTCATTTCAAAAGATGCAATGAGAAGAGTAAGAAAAAAACACCAAAAGGTTCACTTTTCGTTTTCCAGTTTTCTGTTTTATGAACAACAACAAAAAAAAGAGGGAGGCAGCAGAATCTCTTGCTCTACTACAATTTTTATTATTTCTCTGTAAATTTCTATTTTTACTTTAGCAGAATACAATGAAAGTGGCTGGTAAATATGAGTTGCCTAATTGCCCTTTCTAAAAATGTGCCTTAAAAAATAAATCAAGAAATCCCGTGAAGAACCGTGTCAACCTCTGGATTCTATTTTGAATGTTATGAAAAAAAATTAGTTCAACATATAATTAGATTTTTACATATATGTATTTTATAAAAGGAGTAGCTATGATATTATGTATACTGCAAAAATAATTACTACCAGGGAAAGAATGTTTAAACATCTGCACCTACCTTAAGGTGTTTAATTTAAAAGCTAAATATCTACAAAGAAAAAGATGTCAAAGGATGAAATATATACCTACCATGAAAGAATTTGGTTGTATCCATATTGAAAATCCTCTCCTGATATTTCTTGACAGGATATACCAATTGGTTCTCATGGAAGTATAGAATCTTTTTCAATTTCCCAAGGTCAGGCCGAAGGGCAGCCAGTTCTGTCAGGTTAAGAACTGAGCTTGCAAAGAGGATCCTAGAAACAAGGAAATTTGGGTTTACTGTCCTAAACATGGTTGAAGGGGCCATTCTTTGCCCTTCTTCTCTCCTCTTTCCTTTTCTCATCCCAAGAAAAACATATCTAAGTACTATGTAGCAGCATTCTAAGTTTTGAACTCTTAAAAAGTAATCTCTAAGAACTGAATCTCATTGGTCTCAGCTTTGAGAAATATAAAACAAATGGGAGGGAGGATGAGGAGAGGGGAGAAGGGAGAGAATAAGAGAGGGAGGAGGGAAGGAGGAGGAGGAGGAGAAGCAGCAGGAGGGTGGATTTTATTGAAAAAGCCAAGAAAAGCTCTATATAAAGGACAAATGGAACAAAGATAATGCTAACTGGGGAATACTTTGCTTGCCAGTTTTCATTACAGTTTACTTCTTTATGCAAACAACTACTGAAATTTAATATAAAAGCAAGAATGGCACACATTCACATAAACCCTTTTGATTTGTGTAATAGATTTATCAGTGTGGTCATTTTCTCTTGGCATATTTTCTCATCCCCACTTTAAAATATCCTTTAATACTTACCGTTTAAAAAAAATAACCTTTACTTCTCCTCACTGGACTGCTAATGACACCAGATACACAATCTATAAAATTCCTTATATAAACCACAAATTTCAAAAATATTGAAAGGCTGATTCCTAGTCTTAGGGGAAAAGAAACGGAAAGCTTACCTATCCATGTTTATAATAAAAAACTAAGTATTTATTTATTTTGTCATTTCAGAAACATCAGCTTAAAAGGCTAAAATGCGATACAGTCAAGCCAGGAAGGACAGAAAAATTGAACAAGACGACCCACTAGGATGAATGCTGGTGAAACAGAGACATATATAAAGTATGACAGGAACCAACAGAAAGGAGGAATAGTAAACTGGGACAACTTGGAAATGTTTCCCCGACAAGATTCCTACACATATGGACACATGAAAGAGACAGTACCTGAGCAGATGAGGACACTTAAATAACACAATTTTGAGGGAATGCCATCTTTATAGCATAATGTAGCTTCATTTACCCTTCATGGCTATAATTCCTACTCTAAAAGGGTCAAAGAAGGTTAAGAGGGTTTTTGTTTTTCTATGATCATACTGGTAGAAAGCAGCAAAACAGAGACTGTTGGTCTAAGCCTGAAGCACTTTTCATTACACCATAGAAATGAATTGGCTGTGGACCACTTACATTGCAAATGCTTTTTTCTGTACCTATAAATACAAAATATCTTCCTTGTTATTACCATTATTACAACTACTATAAATTCACCCTTGCTGACAAGCCAAATGGCTAACTTCAGGTGTTTATATGATCTGCAGTACTAGCCTTTCACACACAAGAGTGATTACATAATAAGTGCATATATCATAAACAGGAATTCAAGTGCCTTCTACATGGGCTGCAGAACCACATAAGACCAAAGGCCAGTGATCCTTCTTTAAATCACATTGCCCTACTGATGTTATGGTTTATCTCTTGAAAGTAAAAAAAAAAAAAAAATCTAAAATCTTACAAAGAAGGTGTTTATTTTATAAAATGTCCATCTACAACCAACTAAAGCAAACAGAAAAATTATGTCAAATAATGCCTTATTTTGTCCAAAGTTATCCACACCACTACAAAGTATAAGCCTTTCTAAAACTGATATGGAAAAATTCTGAAATATGCAGATATGTGTTACCTATAAATATGATCCCTAGCAAATAAAACAACAAAATATTAATTTCAACCAATCAATATGGAAATGGATGGCAACTTCCAGGTCTAGTTATTGAATCACCCTCCATCCTCTCAAACTTATCTATTAAATTTGATAGACAAATGGGACAAAATATTATTATGCACTCCCAAATGTGATGCACTGAGAAAGATGTAAATCCTCAACGTAGTATCCCTGCCAAAAATGTCTCATCTGAATTTGGTCATACGGAAATAATCATACAAATATTATGCAAAATAACTGGCTGGATCTCCAAAAATGTTAACATCATAAATAGAAAAAAATCTAGATTAAAACAAAATCCAATGTATTACTCCTTGATTGCATACTAGAATGTGAAAAATAAAAACAGCTATAAAGAATATTATCAGGGAAAATTTGAATGTGGACCAAATATAAGATTACAATTTCTTATCATTCTTGAACTTCATAAGTACAATAATTATATTGCAGTTATGCAAGAAAATATGCTTATAGTTTGGAAGTCATGTCAAAGTATTTACATGTGAAGTGTCATGTCTACAACTAATTCTTAAATAGTTCAGTAGAAAATGCTACTAATAACAAATATTCACTGTATATATTTACAAAGAGAAATAAAAAATGTTCAAAGACATTATCAATTGATTAACCTGAGTAAATCAGGTATATGCAACTCATTGTCCTATTCTAAATTGTTGGTATGTTATATATGAATAAAACTACAGATCTGGGGGATGTGAATTAAATGATAGTAATTAGAAAGAAAAAAATCCTACATCCCATAAACAATAAGTCCATCATAAATGTATTTCCAGCCACAATTCAACTGTTAATTTCCTTCATGAAGAATTTCCTCAGGTGGACCATCTGTAGCAAATATTCGACCACGGCAAGACCTTCACTCCACTTTTATTACACTCCCCCACTTCTCACTTTACCCACCAGCTGATTCATAATTAACAAATCTAAACTGAAAGTTGAGCCTTCCAAAGAAAACCTCCCAAAGAAAGAGAATGCAATACATTTGGAAGAGAAGTGTCAATGATTTTTCATAACATTAACTATATGAAGCTGCCTACACCAACACTTCCTTTGGTTTGTTTAATCATTAAATGGAAATTGATTGCATTTTTTAACAAATCTTGAAACAATCTTGTTTATTTCCATCATTAGTAAAGCATTTCACTTTGCTTTTTCACTTTTAAAATGGTAGTCAAACTGAACAATATGCAATTCCTCAAATCTTTAGCTCAACAACCCAAAAGAAGTGATGTAGATGCCCACAAAAGGAATGCAGGTATGATCCATCAGCAATTTTTGCTTTTCCTTCCACCACCAATTTTTTAAAGATGATAATTATACAATGAATGGCATCACTCAATCAGTAGCTAATTCCTAGACTCCCAATGTTTATCTTGCCCCAGGTATTATTTAAGCAATAAATCCTAACAAGGTGTGCTTTGTCATCCCACAGTGTGCCTCTGGCAGGAAAGGGCATAAGGTGAGAGCAAAACCACTAGGAACAAGATAATTCCTGACAGCTGGTGTTTGAGCACAAGTTAAATTGAACAGTTTATCTCAGCATGAAGATGTTTTAAGGTTTTATATTTAATATTTTTAAATTAACATAAAACCCAGGAAAGGTAGTTGGGCAATCCTTCACAAACATGACACACTACCATCACTGTATAAGCTGGATTAGTACTCATTACCATGCTACTACAGCATGAAGCTGTTTTTAGACCACCAAAGACCTTTAAATTGCAACTTCTGTCTCTGTAAAAGAAACCTATATTTAAAATGTCTGCTAAATTCAAATTAACAGCTACATCATTCGCTTACCATTTCATCCAAAGTACAAATAAGCTGCTATTATAATTGTCTAACCAAAATGGCTCTATGCTGCAAGCACATTAACATCATTCCATGTATTTAGGATAGTGTCCACATATATATTTCAATTGTTTACAGTGAACATCGTATGTACAATTTGAGTCACGTTTGTTTTAAGAATCCAAAACAATCTAACACAATGAAATTCAGATTAGGGAATTTACTCTGCTGTTCAGTTTGAATAAAACCACTGTTTTTATAGCCTATTTACTAATATGTACAAAGATATGCTGAACTATACCTAAGCTCTGTAGAAATATAGGCATTATTATCAAGATATATACTTTTCTCTCAAATGGTATGGAATGGCAGCGAAATAAGAAACAGAACACATTCAATATTCCAGCACTGCCATACACTTTAGTAATAATCCTTCATGGACTAGGTTATCTCACTCTTGCCCCATGAAATCTTTTCAACAGGTACCTCCTCCCCCAAAACCAATGATCACGTAATAGGACAAAGTACACTGTTTAAACACAGATACCAGCATGGACTCTTACTCTTTGTTAAATAATTTTGTGTGGTAGTATAGGTATTTGACAAAGAGTAAATTCTTCAGCTGTGTCAGTTTGCTCCACACCTAACCTCT